TCAATATAATTCATAATCGCATTATCAACAACAAAAACTTTGTGTTTATTTCCTCGTCAGGATGAACAATACGAGACAGCTGCGCTTTCAAATCCCTTCAACGATATAAAAAAATTCAGGAATCTTCCTTTAAGAACCAGTTGATTATTTTATTGGAGTTTTCGGCACAACCAAACCATACTTGAGGCGTGGGAAGCGGGGATTCATCTGTCACCATAACCCAGTCGTTGTCAAATTTCCAGAATAGACCGCCACGGAAGAAATACGTTACACCTGAAAAAGTTGGGTTATGTAATATACTTGGGAAGTTAAAAATGTTGAGTTTTTTAGAAGTAAGTAAGGAATAAACTGTAGTTGTTATTTTTTGTATTCAATTTTTTGGAACATTAACCTTATTTACGTCACTGACATTTATATTGTTGTGAATCATGCCCTTAAGAAAATAACGCAGGCCGCTACTGGTAGCCATAAACCAAACGTAACTGAGAGCGCGCGAATGTACGATGTTCGCTGCCGCTCTAGATGTAACGAGAATAAGGCTACCGATTTCGATGGAGTTCCGGCAAATTTTCTGCCGCATTCGATTACGATATATAAACGCTAGCCACAAGCATATCGACACAGTCAATTGGAGTTTACAGTGCGATACGCGAAGCGATCTGGTAGGACGATAAACACTCGAGCACCAACCCGAGCACTCCGACCGTTACCTCATCGCCTTCAATAATATCTACCGCAGTAGTAGACGAAACGTCAGGCAACCTGCAGACCACGGCCAAAAAACTCTAAAAATAGCTTCGACACAGTTATCTTCCTCCGTGAAAGTTTACATTCTTTGAATTTTGTGTGTACAAGTCAAGTCAAAAACGTTTATTCAGTCTTGGGTTAGTATGTAGTTAGTTTATATTGGGGGTAGGAGGGGGGCCCTGCTATGGGCCCTGCTTCAGTTTTAAAAGTAAATTGCATAAGCATATTTCAAATAGTCCAACTCGTGAAGATACGATACGATTTCTCCCACCGGCCATGACTCAGCCCAGTAGCTGTAGCTCATTATCTGGCAATAGACCACGGATGCTTCGTTTTTGGGCTCTTGCATAATCTTGACCACAATAATCAAAGCCCTATGAACTGATATATTACTAATGTTGAGGCATTTTTTTAAATGATTTCATCTCCGCTTGTGTATCTTCATTGAATAATAAAAAAAATGAAACACTCAAGAAAGTTTTTTTCCCCACACAGACTTTGGGATTCCTAGTTCGACAATACCTGTACAAACCTAGCAAGAAGCAGTTTTTCCAAATGTCGCATAGGACAGCTTCATTACCAGATCTGACTACCATTAAATTATGTAATACTGTTTGAAAAGTGTCCTTTGAGATGTGAAAAAAATCGATGACTTCATTTCCAAAACAAATAGTTTTCACCCAAGATGTGTGAATCTATATCATACAAATATTAAACTTACCATCTTTCCAAGTAGTGGCAGCGTCTAAATCATCTGGTACTCCTCTCCAACGTTTCATGGTTAAAGGGTAACCATCATCCATTGTATGTGAAGTTTCGTTGTATCTCCAAAATCTTTCATTTTTGAAGAAATAAGTCTTTTCTGAAAAAAATAAATTTAGTTTCTCGAATGACTCACGAAACGGCATGTTTTATTTATTTCATTTGAAAGACAATGACTCACTGTTCTTCTTCCAGTTCTGAACGGCATCAATACTCGTCAAATAATCAGGAAGACCATAATAAGTTAGAGACTGTGGACTGCTCTCCAAAAAGTTGCTTCCATCATACACCCAAAATACATTACCTGAATAAAAACCGTATTTAAAATCAATTCAAGAGAATGTGTAGAAATCTTGAAGAGTAATATTGACAGAATTGATGAGAAATCAAATCTTGTCTGAAGACTGTTGTAATACCTAGCAAAAGCTATTGTGTGTTAATATATATTCTAGTTTCGGCAAAAGGTAGATTTATTTTGATCCAGAATTTTAAACGCCGGTCCTGTGACTCATACAATGTAAAAACTTGGCCAGACCGTGAGAGTGTTTATATAAAAATTCATCTGCGTGTTCTTGGCCAGACACAGAGTCAGATATATTCTACATGTAGCTGGCGCTGCCACGCAGCAAACATGAGCACATCAATTTCCAAACCTTGAAATCTATAGGTTGCAAGTCAAGCGAAATAGGGCTTTTCTGGCGTCGGGCGGCGTCTGGGCGACGGTTACTAAGAACGGCATGATAATTAGCAACCATCTTACTAAGGCGGGGCCATATACTCATTAATTAAAAATTTGCCAAATCGAGATCCACTGGGAGGAAAGAAGAACCTTTCTCGAAGGATCGAGGGAGGGTTCGAGAAACTGGTGACGAAGCATCCATATTTTCTTTCTCGCATTTGGAATTGAGTGGTGCGGAAAGTTTTTTGAAAGTAAGTCTTCCTGGACTTTGAGGAGGGTTCGCGAACTTGGAGCTGGAAGGGTGCTCTTGACGGTCGTTCACGGTTGAACGTCGGTCACGAGTGGAATATTATTATTTGGTTTTGAGAGACAATTTTCCTGGGTTGATTGAATCTTTGAAGAGTTTATATATTTGAAACCGGACAGTTGACGCGTCTTCCCATTGAAAATTTCGAGCAGTGTAGTGCTTAAATTAAAAAAATCAATAATTCAGTAGGCCGAAACCATGTATGAATGAGTTGTGATTGAGGTGAAGTTTTTGATACGATATTCTTTGATAACC